GGGGCGGCATAGAAATGTTTTAATAAATAAGTAAATAAATAAATACTATGGAAAATGAACATCCCATATTGGACATAATTAGAACATTAATGAAAAGGAAAGTGACACTATTCACTGCATTAGTTGCATCCTGAAAGTCAGATTGTCTGTTCAGGCAATCAATTCAGGCAATATCTGATCAGGCAGTATCTGATCAATTCAGGCAATATTCTGCAAGCATCAGATGTACAATTTTTTACTGGATAGTCTACAGTCTTTCAAGACAAAAGTCAACTTGCTATTCCCTTTCTTACAGCATAATCAATAATAATGCAAAAGTTTGGTTAAACCAGGAATGTCAAAGAAATCCAATAGATTTTCACAATTTAGTCCCCTCAGTTCTGTGTCACCCACTCTGTGCTGGCAGTTACTCAATATGACGTGAGTCAAGCTAGCTTGTGGATGTCTGTCTCTAAAACAGGCTGTGTCATGAGTGGAGCTGGAGGTCAGACTAGATGGCCCAGCAGACCCCTTCTGACTCAGTTTCTATGTTTCTGTTTTTTGAAAATGGTAAGAAACTCACATGGCTTTACACAATTAAAAAAATAGTATGCAAATTGCATAATTTATAGTATTTGGCTAAGTTTGTGCAAATTAGCACCAGAATAACAGATGGTTATAGTGTGATTTGCACAAACTGGGTGCTTTTGGGGTGCTGATTGGTGCAAAGCATGTAAACTTGCCCGAAGTTTTCAATTTGAATAAAGTTATATGAATTAAAGTTAGGCAAATTGCCCTATTTGCATGTATTTCCTTGGTGCAATGTTAATGCTCAAACTGCAAATTGTATTAGAAGTGGAGGTCTGGAGGGAAAAATACAACTTGCCTTGCTAGATCAGAGTAGCCAGGAATCTGTAAAATATTATGGCTATTTGGACACTGTTTAGCAGCCATAGAATTGCTTTGCCCACTTAATAATGGAACTTAACTCAACACCTGTCAGTACTTAAAAAATGAGGTACTAACAATAAACTAAATCATACTTACTCTGAACCCACTGAAATCAGTGAAACCTAGATTAATCATGAGTAACTTAAGTCCCATTTATTTAAATGGGTCTACTCTAAATATGTCCAAATCTAGATCGACCCCACTGACAACATATAATCAGTAACAAACAAATGCATAGCACATAGTGGCAATATTCATGATATATTTTCTCCTACTAGGCAGATTACATAAAGAATGTATTTTCATGTCACTGGATAGAAGTGAGAAGCACTCACTATGGTTGCATACTTGTTGATTATGCATGAACGTCTAAATCTTGAAGCTTATCAGGTGAAACTCCCTGGACAGAGATGGCTAGCAAATATCCTGTAACAAATGTAAGCTAGGTAGTGTAATCATCAGAAAAGAAACTTTGACTAAAGGAACAATAGCAATTTAAAATGTGTGAGTCCCATTGAATTCAATGGAGCTTACTTCTCAGAGACATATATAAGATTGCATGGTAGGTTAGGCAGATATTAAAAGTCTAAATTATTACATTCTATAAGTAAGTACTGGATCTTCCTATACAAGTGGAAGCTTACTATGGTCAGAATAAATTAGGAGGATGTTTTCTATTAACCCCCACCCCACAAAAGTGGTTTGGTATTCTCAGTTTTGTTTGAATTCAACAACCAATACAAATCTACTTATGCTTTGACACAGATTCTTACATATGAAGTATAAAACAATTTCAACAATATTTCATCAGACTCTTCCCTTACAGGATGAAAAATCAAAGTATACTTAAAACTATGGACAAGATGTCCTATTCTTACCATGACCTGAGGCAAAAACTGAAACAGGACCGGTCTGTACTAGGTAAGAGCTGGCAGTATAGTCCTCATCAGTGTCAGAGTCCTGAACTGGCTGGATAGCACTAGTACTTAGCAACCATCTCTGGTTGTCATGGAGATTAGGTGATGGAGGAGGGGAATGTAAATGCTCAATAACGGATTGACTAGATGAAGAGGATGGCATGGGAGGACCTAAGGAAAAACATAAAAATTTTTTTTTTTACATTTTCTGTTGTTAGGATAACATGAGTGACATATCAGTGCCTGCTTATGTCCTTCAATTTACAACTATTCATAGAATACTTTAAGAAATTATGGCCAAACAAAATGATGATAGCACGTGATAGAAATAATTTTAGTCTTTTCCAAGATGCAAAGTATTGCTTTGCTCTTGACTTCCTAAATATGATACTAATTCTTCTGAATGGGCAGTATCCAACTGTGTCTTTCTGTTAATGCAAATAATGTTGTTCTGGAGGAAACTAGGTTCTGACCTATGTTCAGGAGAAGAATCCAACTAAAATAACAATTACATAAGTACAGCTCTGCAAATGGCTGTACTTTGTACTCGTGCAACAGATTATACAATCCATTGTGTATAACTGTGCGATATGCTATGTAAGCAGATGAACAATGCAAAGATGCAGATGAGCTCCACTAGTGCTCATCTGAGTTTACAGAATGACACCTTTGGATACTGCTCAATGGGTAGAATTCCATGTTACATAATAGCAGAATTTCATATTATTTTAATACTTACCACTTTAAAACATCTGTTCCAAGTCTATAAACTTAAGACACCATGTTATCACTTCCATGACTATAGATTTACACAACCAAAATGCTTTAATCTTTCCCTCATTATTTTTTTCAGAATAGACTAGCTCACTGAATAATCAATAGTGATGTACAAGACTTATCTTGTACCTTTCTTGAACCTGCACCCATTCTGTTGCAGCTGTAACAGTTTTATGCACAATCTTTAAGTGCACTGGTTGCTCAAAACTGAGTTCCCCATGGACCTGACTCACTCTACTGAAATGAATGGAAAAGATGGGCTAGATGGATGAATGCTGCATGCATATTGGAGTCCCACACCTGAAGCAGATCTTTGAATATGGATGCCTTAATAAGAGCCCAGAATATGTCTGTCTAGTGAGCTTTTAAATCCCCTTTTATTTATTTATTAAAACATTTTTATGCCGCCCCATTCGCCGAAGCCTCGGGGCGGCTTACAACAATAAATTAAAACATCATAAATAACATTTTAAAATATATACATTAAAATAAGATACAAAATTACAATATAAAATAAGCTGCCCTGGCCTGATAAAATTCAATAATATTATCATTTAAAATGCTGCTTAAATAAAAAGGTCTTCGCCTGGCGCTGAAAAACAAATAACAACGGTGCCAGGCGGACCTCTCTGGGGAGCGCATTCCATAACTTAGGCACCACCGCTGAGAAAGCCCTCCTCCGAGTAGCCACCCTCCTAACTTCTTTCACGGAGGGCTCCTGGAGAAGGGCCTCTGCTGCCGATCTCAAGGGGCGGCTGGGCATATATGGACGTAAGCGCTCCTTCAGGTAACCAGGACCCAAGCCGTTTAGGGCTTTATAGGTCATCACCAACACCTTGAATTGGGCCCGGACTTCAATGGGAAGCCAGTGAAGCTGACGGAGAACTGGAGTCATGTGAACATAACATCCAGTCACTGTCAGCAGCCTGGCAGCTCTACTGTGAACCAACTGAAGTATCCGGACCGTCTTCAAGGGTAGCCCCACGTAGAGCGCGTTACAGAAGTCAAGATAAATATATATTTATCATATATTATAGCTAGCATGGAAACATAGAATTAAAATAAAAGGACAACTGAGGAGCATTTGTAAATTCATGAGCAAACCATTTGTTCTATCATGTTATTACAGTCTTCCTGTACAGTGATTTAGGACAACAACCTACTCTGCATATGTCAGAATTTGGAGTTGGAACAACCAGATCCAAATCTTATTTATGAACTTATTGTATGATTTGGGGTGTGTCATTAACGTATTATATTTTCCATATATAAAATGGAAATGATGATGATCTGCATTACACGGTTATTAATCTAAGAAAAACAAAGCAAGGAAAAGTTGTACATGACTTTGGGGTAGATTGGAGTATATACATAAAACCATTAACTTGTACTTCAAAAGATTCACAAAATATTTCCTATTGTAGTTATATCATATGTAACTGAGCCAAAAGAAAATGCATAGGTTATATGTTACAGCATGAAATTGCCTGTTTTCAAGCATTCTCCTCCCTTTATATAACACAATATCTTTGTAATAAGTGACTTTTAATTATAAATCCATTTTATATTATAGACCCCCTGTATGCTACCCAACCTGTATAACTTGGCACTGGCATTTATCTCTCTGCTGGATACTGGAGCCTTCTGCAGTCAACCTGTGGTGACAGTTATCTCTTAATTAAAACTCTACATGCAAATAGCATTACTGAAAAGTGTTGTGACAGAGCACACACAAAGCACAATTATTTGTAACTGTGCAGGCCTTGTTATCTACAGTTTTAATACTGGGCAGCCATTATACTTAGTGTGAAGTTTTCCCTCTGGGAAATATGCTTAACTAATCCTTATTACTTAGGTTTAGGCAGTCATAGATCTTTCCATAGTCATCACACAGTAATAAAAATCATTTGTTACATCAGGGACTTCTTCAGAAGCAACTTTTATACAATATCTAAGAAGTGTACTCTTTTTTAATATAATGAATGATGACTCATTTAACCTTGTATCAGACAATGATACAGGTCTCAGCCAACTCTGAATTCTAATGAACTCTCCACTCTATTTTAGAAGTAAATCTGAAAGAAAAATAACATCTTTTAACTGGTTAGCATTTATAACCAAAACAAGGTAATTGGGCATGCAACTGAACTCACAATTATATTTGTTCCACAAAGCAACAGAAATCCCCAAACCTATGAGAAAGAGCCTGAGGATAATCATTGTGGCTACTGCAACTTCTTTTCCCTTCTAAACATCTTCCCATTCAAGTCATGCCTGTTGAGTATTTTAATCAGTTATGCTCTATTACCAAACCTCAGCATTCTTAGACCCAGACTGCCATTCTGACAGTAACCATTCAACTTGTCCACATGGATACACTTTCACTCATGTCGAGAGAAATCGGGTAAATTATTATTACTTAATGTAAGAGGTAATATAAGCAGAACAGCAAATTATAATTCTGGAAGATTAGTAAAACTATCTTTTACTGGAAATGGAATAGATTTCAGTCTTCAAATCATTTACTTAGATTAGCTCCTTTAAGTTAGTAGAGAAACAATGTTTTCAATGAAAACGCTAATTTTTTTATTTGTTAAAAATCAAATCCTTCATTGTAAGATGTTCAGATGTGTGAACATTAAAAAGTCTTCTGATCTAGCATAATGAGAGTAATAGGGAATCCTTGCTGAAATATGTTGTTTTGGATATTAGGGCAAACTTCAACATGGTGACAGCTGCTACCTAGATGGTATATCAGCTATGTAGCTGGTATGTCAGGTTAAGCTTTGCAATTCCTGATGAAGCATGGCTTTCCTCCATCTCCAACAAGACTTTTGTGTGTGTGAAGAGACTGCCAGATCTGAGATATAACTAAAATACATTCAGTTAGACTAATCTGACATACAATTCTCAATCGGTACGTTTTGAAAAGCTAGTAAGCGTAACACATTGCTCTGTGCCAAAGCCAAAGTCTGTACAGCTAGACAGAACTCAGCATGAATCTCAAGTTAAACATGAGGGAATGCTTCAGGGTTTTCAGACTTATAAAATATTGTTTTCTTGGTGCATAGGCCAGCAAAATCCACAGTTGTAGTTCTTTTGTGAAGCCAAATTGCCTTTAAGCAATGATGCAATATAAAAGAGACAGTTCTTGCATCTTAAGAAAAGCTCCCAGTCCTGGAATCTAGGCAGGGACCCCCTGACTATTTCCATTCTGAAAGAAGCCAATTTCTTTCAAAGCTTCTACGCCTAATTTAATCAAGCTGCTCTTGATTAAAGCTGGGGCAAGCAGACTGAATTTTTGGAGATGTGCTCTTGAGGGAAGATCAGCACAGTCCTTTCAAGTCTTTCTGTCCCAAGTATGCTCATCTGATTTGCTCTGATTTCATGCCTTCCTCTTCCAAATGTTTCTCTGGTTTAGACATACATTCTTTTTTAGAAGTGTAGAAAAAATAAGCAAGCTTAAGCCCCACTAAAATGACTCTGTCCTAGATTATCATCATGACTTTCAAGGTTGGTAAAGCATATTTTCCATTCTGAATATATTCTTGCAATGCAACTATTCAGTTTCCACTGCATAACCATCAGTAGCAGGGTTGCATTTTTGTGGCATCTTTCTACAGCTTAAATCTCAGCTGAATTCTTCACAGTAGTCTGATTTACTTTGGTGTAAGAATTCCTAAGACAAAGTCTTCACTTTGGTACCATTTCTTATTAGATGAAACATTGTCTAGCTATTTTCAGTACTGCAGAATAGACTGATACAAGGTAAGTGCTAGTAGGTCAGCTGCAAATAGCTGTTTGGAACTTTCTTGGGTACTGAGCTTCATGTAGAATAAGATTAATCTGGAATACATGGTTTTTGGGAAGAATGTAATGCTAATACTTATGTATAGAATTGTTTATGAGTTGCAGTTAGACCCCAAAAAGACCATGAGGCAACTTATAAATTTTAAACACTTTTAACTTTAAAATGTTTAAACAATTAACAAGATTTTAAAAATTCTTCCAAAACCAGAAGGAAGAAATTACACTGAAATATTAAAAAAGTCATGGAGAACAAACAAAAAAAAAAGTTAACAGCCTTCCAAAACTAAATCAATATAGAACTTGTCAAACTTCCCTATGAAGAGAGTGCCACCACAGAATAGGCTCTGTTTTCTCACAAAGATTCTCCTGGCGATGGGACGTACAACATGTCCTGTAATATAGATCTTAAACTACAAGCAGGTTTACATATGAGAAAGTGCTCTTTCAAATAGACTAGTTCCAAACCATGTTGGGTTTTACAGAAAGAACCACCACATTTAATTTTATCTGGAAAGAACAGTGTATACAATCAACTAAATACAGGACAGAAAGCAATCTGGTTGCACTAGTTATAGTTCCTAAGT